CTATGTTTTTCCTATACATACATACCTATAATAAAGTTTAATTTATAAATTAAGCACAGTAAGAGATTAACAATAACTGATGATAAAAACAATTATAAAAATATACTGTAATATAAGTTATGTAAATGTGGTTTCCCTACCCCCATCTCAAAATATCTTATTGTACTGTACTCACGATTTTCAGACCACAGTTGACCACAGGTAACTAGAAACCATGAAAAACAAAACCACATATATAGGTGGTGGGAACTACTCTTTGATTTACTTTATGATGATTATATTAGCATCATAAAGTAAATCAAAATCCAAACTCCAAGATAGCAAAGATACCAAAATCCAAGATAGTGTCAGGAAGAAAAATTACTGGCTAGTCCAATATGTGAATAAAGATGCAAAAATCTTAAATAACAAACCAAATCCAACTCATTATAAAAAATAGTATATTGTGACAAACACAGTTTCGATGACATTTAAAGGATTTATTTAAACAGATTAAAATCCAATATAATAAAAAATGAATGATTACCGCAAAGTACAAAGAAAAATAATTTGGTAAAATTTAATATCCACTGATTAAAAAAAATTCTTAGCAAAACAGAAATAGAAATGACTTTCCTTAACTTAAAAGTAATCTACCAAAAACATAAAAAATAATACTTCCTGGCAGCATTCTCTTTAAAGTCAGAAATGGCAATCCCTATTGCCTGCAGTCACTACTTCCATTCAATATTTTACTGGAAGTCCACTTTGGGAGGCCAAGGCAGGTGGATCACGAGGTCAAGAGATCGAGACCATCCTGGTCAACATAATGAAACCCCATCTCTACTAAAAATACAAAAAATCAGCTAGGCATGGTGGTGCGTGCCTGTAATCCCAGCTACTCAGCAGGATGAGGCAGGAGAATTGCCTGAATGAACCCAGGAGGCGGAGGTTGCGGTGAGCCGAGATCACGCCATTGCACTCCAGCCTGGGTAACAAGAGCGAAACTCCGTCTCAAAAAAAAAAAATTTTTACTGGAAGTCTTAGCTCGGGCAATAAACAGAAAAAAACTTACTAGTGTTAACATGAAACATCCAAGGCTACCAAAAAATACTTAAATAATGTTTCTGTATTTGGTATTCTGTATTCAGTCTACCAAAACCAACGGCATTTCCTCATCAGCATCAAGCAATCCGAAATACAGTTTTATAAGAAAGGTAACATATATAACTACCAAAAATGTATTAAGATATCTAAAAATTAGTATTATTTTTAAAAAATGTCAGACCTGTACAGAGAAAATAATCAATTTTATTTAAAGATATAAAAGATCTCAACAAATGGAATTAATAATTCTCCCCATATAAATTCATAAATTCAATAAAAAACAATTTTTAACCCAATGGAAACTTTCATGAAATTTCATACGCTGATCCTAAAATTCAGAAGAATAATTAGTTGAGTAGAAATTTTGAATTTAAATAATAAAGACTTGGTCTGATCAAATTATCAGTACTTTTTATAAAACTCTAGAAACTAAAGCAGAGTGGGGTCAGTGAAACAAAATGGAGAGCTGGAAGCATTTATGTGTCTATGGAGAGAAATGGTATTATTATAAGTCTCAAGGAATGAAGCTGGGACAACTGTTTACCCATACATTAAGAGATATATTTAGATTCCAACCTCACACTATGAACAAAAATAACTTTTAGGTGGATTAAAGGACTAATGGATTAAAGAACAACTTAAAAACTCTAAGGAGGGCAAATAACAATCTATCAACTTCTGAAAAAGGCAAAAAACACAAATCAGACTCACAATTTACCATTAAAAAAGCCAAAATATAGAAGATATCTGCAACCCTCAAAGAACCAGAAAATAGAAAGAACACTTCCACATTAATATGGAATCTTTCAGGGATTCCACAGCAAGAACAAGCAACTCAGAGAGGAAGAAATCTGAACAACAAATGCCAATAAAGGAAACAGTACTCAACCTCAACAGTCATCAAGGAAATAAAAATTTTAGTAATAGTGAGGTATCATTTCAAACCCATTCTAGTTGCAAAACAAGTAAATCGAATTATTCCATGTACTGGTGAGGATACAGGCACACAAACACTCTTATAAAACAGTGGGTATGTAAATCATTTTGAGAACAACTTATCAATGAGTAGTAAAAGATGCCTTCCCAATGACCCAGCAGTCCATTTCTAGGTAGATATTCACACAGAGAAACTCTCAAAGTTATGCACAAGGAAATACAGGTAAAGATGCTGGTTGCACATTGTTTGTAAGGGGCGAAAAGTAGAAAGAACCTATGTCAGTAGAAAAACAGATAAACTATGGATTTTTTAATACAATAAACAAACATATAAGTTACGGTTAATTCATTAAGCAGTGACTTTAATTCATCTCTACATAAGCACGAAAAATTTCTGAAATGTAACTTTTAAGCAAAAAGAGTTGTAAGATAATACCTAATTTGATAACATTTATGCAAATTTCTAAACACAGTAATTGTACATAATGCTACAAATATATATGTATGTAATAAAAGTATAACAGGCTTTAGCATAAGTCACAACTTTAGAACAGTGGGGAAGGCGAGGCAAAGTGGTTTAGATATTATTTATAATAGTTTTCTTCAGAGTAAAAGACAAATAAAAAAATGTTAAAATCTGTTTATCTTTTTTGGTAGGTGGGCATATGATTTTCAGTCACTTTAAGTACGTGTGAAGGGCTTTATAAGAAAGTTTAGGGCCGAGCGCGGTGGCTCAAGCCTGTAATCCCAGCACTTTGGGAGGCCGATGCGGGTGGATCACAAGGTCGAGAGATCGAGACCAACCTGGTCAACATGGTGAAACCCCGTCTCTACTAAAAATACAAAAAATTAGCTGGGCATGGTGGCGCGTGCCTGTAATCCCAGCTACTCGGGAGGCTGAGGCAGGAGAATTGCCTGAACCCAGGAGGCGGAGGTTGCGGTGAGCCGAGATCGCGCCATTGCACTCCAGCCTGGGTAACAAAAGCGAAACTCCGTCTCAAAAAAAAAAAAAAAAAAAAAGAAAGTTTAAACCATTACCACATTCTCACCAAGGAAAGCATTTAGCAGATGTTAACAAAAGTATAGGAAAACAATGATCACCCATTCTCCTATCCACAGAGCTAACCATTGATATTTTCTGTGTTTTTTCTTTCCATATAATTAAACATAGACAATATTATTCTGTATATTGTTAAAACCTTTTACTTTGTTCTTAACATACTACAGTCATGTTTCTTTGTCATTATTTCAAACTTGTAAAATTTACACATATCCATGGTAAAAAAATTTTTTAACTTCACAGGAGGATACAGAAATGAAGAGCCATCATCCTTCCCTAGACTGCCATTGCCAAGAGTTTCCCATTCATCAGGTCCAGAAATTAGGCTTTTGTAACTAAGCAGAGTAGAGTACCTCCGTCGTGCCTCTGGGTGGAGGCAGAGCTCTCAAATTGTAATCTTTGGCATGAGTTATTTTTTAGAGATAATATATTTGATCACAGCATTTAGAATACATTAAATTTAAAATCGACTCTTGTACTTTTTTCTTATTTAAAACTTTAAATTTGTCTGTATACTACGATCACTTAAAAACTAGAATAATTATTCACATTTAGTACAAGCGTTTCCCTTTAATGGACATATCGATATCCACTCTGCCCCTGCCCCAAAAAGTGTTTGTAAAAAAGCAAAGAAAAAAACTATTTAATCTAGAGAATCCAAGTTTATGTACAATTCAGATATTAAACATGGATTTTAAGAAAGAAACGCAACTTTTAAAAGCTACAGTTTTCCAACAAAAGCATATACTTAGGAATCAGTGTTGCATTTGGCAAGCTTAAGGGCATATAATTCAAATAAACAAATACAAACCAACAATATTCAAACTGCAGAGCCGGTCCAGATCTAGACATAACTTTGCAACTATCACTACCTTGCAGTGTGGAGCAAGTGAAATGAATGCAGTCCCACACTTCTAATGTTCACTGTATTTACAATCTGTCCACTCTTCCTGCCTCCTTTAGGAGTTGAGTGCCTCCTCACTCTCCTTGCATTAACTGTCTGCCGTCAAACCAGAGAAATAAAACCAGCAAAATAATACAAGTACATATCTAGAGTGAGTTAGTGGTAGAGCTAGGATTCAAATCCTTGTTTACAAGATCTTCCCCTAATTTTTATTTTTACTATACATTAAGCAGCCATTTAAAAGGATATTTTCCCTGAAAGCTCAGCACTTCATTCCCACACTCATTTGGCATTTATAGTATGCTATCTTTACTGACAGTTATGTTTTTATGTGACTCCCCATTTCAATTTAATTACAAGCAATGTTTTAAAAGCAAAGTCTTGTACTCAATACTTAACATAATGTTATATGAAACAGTTGCTAAAATAAACATTTAATAATTAAATTTATAAAGCACTCAGATTTCTTTAAACTGTGTATAAATACATAACATAAATATACATAGACAAAGTATTTATATATGCATTTCATATGGTATTCTCAGTGAATATTTAAATTATTAACAAAAAAAAGAAAGAGAAAATGAAGAATAAATAAAATTTTTGTTATAGATTTCAAAGTACATGACTTCTTTTTTTTTTTTTTTTTGAGACAGAGTTTCACTCTTGTTACCTAGGCTGGAGTGCAATGGCGCGATCTCGGCTCACCGCAACCTCCACCTCCTGGGTTCAGTCAATTCTCCTGCCTCACCTCCTGAGTAGCTGGGATTACAGGCATGTGCCACTGTGCCCAGCTAATTTTTTGTATTTTTAGTAGAGACGGGGTTTCACCATGTTGACCAGGATGGTCTCGATCTCTTGACCTCGTGATCTACCCACCTCGGCCTCCCAAAGTGCTGGGATTACAGGCGTGAGCCACCGCGCCCGGCCCCAAAATACATGACTTCTAAAAGGACATTGGAGGAAATTACTTTAAAACCTGTACCAATACTTTTTGTTGAACTAGCTACTTACCGGGAAATTGTGACACTATTGGGGGTGTGTCTTCATCTAAGTCATCAACTCCTCCAGCAATTGGATAGGGTGGAATGGAGACTCTGGGCATCACCACCCAGCTGTGATCAGAATAAAGGGAAGAAGTCAGGCTGGGGAGTCCCGAGTTATGGGCTATCTGAAAGCCACAGATCTTCTCAATTTGTTGCCAGCGAAAAAGTCGTTCTCGTAAACAAGTTGTCAACTCAGAGAGAGCTTTCCTGGAAAAGCCAATGAAGAAATTACTTACTGCATCAAAAAGTCTTTAAAAGGCAATACAGGAACAGACTGTGGCAATTAACTAATTTCAAGAAGAAATAACCCACTCTTAAAACTAACATAAATTATGTAATTATATAGTTAAATGATAAATTTAATATAAATTGTCTATAAATTACTTGTTTCAACACAATAAACAATAAAGCAAATAAACAAATAGCTAAAATAACATTCTTACTTTGCTTCCAGAATTTTGTGGTCTACCTCATCTAGGGAGGAGCTGTGTGCAACGTGCAGAGTCCCAAAGACTGTGCTTCTCTTCTTTTTAATTTTTTCTGCCTAGAAACCAAAAAAAAAAATAAAATATCCTAGGTTTGAAAAAAATACAAACATTTTTGCATATATAAAATAATAAAGTTTATTTTGGGTTTGAACATATTAACAAATCAGAAAACCAGTAGAGAATTATTAGCCAAGATATCCCTGAATTCCAAAAAAGAAAACAGATGAGGGAAAAACATGCTTTTCTAAGGCAATCGATGTAACCCTAAACTTTATTCTGGAGAATTTTTTTCTTATTTCTATGGTTCAGGAAGACTCGAATCTTGTACTAGAAGTAACAGAAAACATTAACAATATCCTACCAGAATGGTGCTAGTGTATGAACCGAACTTTCAAACATTTTTTGCTAGAATTCAGATGAAGACTTATTGTCATTCCACACAATTTAAGTGTCAAAATTAATTTCCAGTAACTACTAACCTGAATCAGACATGAAGCAGCAACCTAGAGGGAAAAAGCTCTGTATAAAACTTTGATAATGATAAAAAAGAATCTTTAAATCACTAAGGTCACTTTCAAAAGTATACACTTCTCTAGATAAAGTAATTTTAATTTACAGCTTATGATTACTAGAGTCTATTTACACAATAAGTTCCAGTTCAAAATCTGCAATAATAAAACTTATATTTAGATCTGTGTACCCCAGCTGAGTAATTCCTCTAAGAAGGCAGCCTAAGAAACAAATTTAGTAAACTTTGAAATACAAGAGAGTACCTCATCTTTAGCAATAGCTAGTTGCATTTCAGCGTTTTGTCTTTTAATATTGTAGTACTGCACTTCTACTTCATGTGTTAACTGAAGCCATTTCTGAAGTGCATCTGGAACAGACCAGCTGCTTCTAAGTTCAAATTCTTTCTCAGCCTTTTTCAGAGCCATGCGAACCTAGAAGTAGAAAAGGAAGGAAGCAGGAAAGGAGAGAGAGAGAGGAAGAAAGGATTAAAATATTTTTAGTACCCCAACTAAAAGAAAAAGCTATTTAATTATGCTTTTCGTAGACATCGTTTTAAACTGCAAAGTCTAATACAATATATTACTAGCATTAAAATTAAGGCTGAAGTTTCATGTGCATCTTAAATCCACTAAGCAAAGTTGTGAAGCCAAGGTGGGTAGAGACAGCTTATTTATATCTTAAGTTGCAATATTTAGGTTTTTTTGTGTTATGAAAACCAGACTCACTGAGGGGGAAAAAAAATCAAGGGTATATATACAAATCAAAACTGATGACACTTTTCCCATAATGCATATTTCATTTATGAAGTATTATATAAAGAAGTGTCCAAAATCGGGTGGATACATGTTCTACACCTCCTGCTAATGTTTCCAGAAGAGCCTACTGTAGCTCCTTCACTATATACTCATTTTTTTAAATTGTATTTTTCTGTAGTTTTTCATGACATCTTCTTTATGGCCAGTTATTTCTGACTGTTGCAAGTATATATGCCTATTATTGTCTGTTTTACCACATCTGCTACATAATTCACTGCTTTGAATATACCAGAAAGTAGCTAAGTGAGCATCTGCAGACCATGTACAGATTTTGAGAAAATAGATTCTAAGTGAGAATCTACTTGATTTTTTTTCATGAGAAACTAAGCATCGTCTTCAGTATATGGATGTCATAGTATTTCTTCCACCTGCCCTTTAATGAAGCCAGACAATAAACAGAGAAAAAACAAAAATGTTTGGTGGTTAGGTGGTAAGTGCTAAGAAAACGCATCGTTAAGGAAAGCCTCACTAAGGAAATGACACGGAAGGGAATAGATAATCCATTCTTGGAATAATTTACTTAAAAACTAGCAAGTGCTTTCAAACTAAAGCTGTGTAAAGATACAGGATGCAATTTATGAAATTGTGCACACACACTCACACTCAAGACCTCCAGGCAAAGCGATGAGTGAACTACGGAGCATCCTGCATGCTGAACATCACACTGCAGATTGGTTTTCCCCAAAGCTAACTAAGGAAGCTAAAGAGCAAAGGAATGTTTGAGCTGAACAAACCCAACTTATTTGAATAAACTTTATCGTTTGCCAGAATAAACTAGCAAAAGTACTATACACAAACTTCTGATAAAGAAATAGAACAGCTGTCAGATAGTGTGAAAACAAAGAATTGTGTAGAAAAATCTCTTAAAATTCCAAAATTAAAAATGAAATCCACAAAGCAAGAACAGGTGACAATTCAAAAAGACACACTAAAGTAAGGGGAAGAGCACTAACTCACTGAAAACAAATCCCAAGCAACATGTGTCTACCTGACTCACTGTGCAATGGCTTGGGACAATACTGTGTTTAATAAATCGGTTGGGTAAGCTGTGTGGCGTCCCTGCTAATCTCTCAGGAAGAGAAAATTTAAGCTCAGGTTCTGTAACATGCAGATCTGCATAACACCTCAAAAGGCATGTCCGCAAGCCCTTGTTCTCCCAAGATTTTAATGCTAAAGTTTCTACACGATTTTTACTTCCAAGGAATTATACAGAGAATCTCAACAAAATTCATTCAAGTTATTCTCTTTAACCATAATTCTCCCTAATGACATTTTCATAAACATATTTCCCCTAAAAGAGCTCAATGGAAACACTTTTAACATAAAAACTACTTATATATTTTTAGCATAAATTGAAGCTGAACAATGTTTAGATTGATTGCCAAATAATGACTCAAAATGACTTGTGGAAAGTCTGACCTTCCAATAGTGGCTACTACTTAACTGTTTTCTCTGCTATTACTCATAAATGTTTCATCTGATCTAAATCCCAACCCTTAGTTTAAATCACACTGTTGTTTATAGGAGAATTAACATAGTTAAAATTGAGTAATTAACAGATTTTATAAACAATAAATGTTTAAAATGTAATAATGATTTACATAATTTTTGTATCTCAGGAATAAAACAACAGTAAGTAAAAACATGATGTCACAGAAAGAAACAGCCTAAATATCTGAAAACTTGGTTTCTAGACCCAACTGCATTATTTATCATCTCCGTGACCTTCAGTAAGTTCTTAAGGCTTACACCAATAGGGGTATTATCACTTGTCCTAATTAAAGGCTTCCTGAGACTTTTTCTAAGAACCTAATTTGTGAAAAATATTTAAATCATACAAAATATAAAGTGGTACTATTAGTTACCCAAAAGTCTCCATTCTAGGAAAAATAACACTATATAAAAAACAAACTAGATTTTCCTGACTTCTAAATTGACGTTGATTATTCTCCAGACAAAATACAGTAATTCTCTGAACTATGTGGAATTGTAGGTTATGTCATATTATACATGATTTCTCAGTTAAACTTACTTCTACAAGCAAAGCTTTTAAGAGCAGTATGACAAAATACACACTATATTTAAATACAGACAAAATATAGCAATTCCCTAAACTATGTGGAATTGTGAGTTATGTCACATTATATATCATTTCTCAGTTAAACTTATTTCTACAAGCAAAGCTTTTAATAGCAGTATGAGAAGACATAGACTTTGGAATATGACATGCAAAATCTTGCCTTTACCAGCAAATAGCTGTAGAACCCAAGGCAAGTTATCTAACCTCTTTACACAGCTCATCTGTAAATGAAGACAGTATCTGTGTGTTGTGAGGATTAAAATACATGAGCAAACCACTGGCAATGTGTGTAGCATACACTTCCAGCACACAGTAAGTCCTTAGAAATTCTTGTTTCTCATTAATATAATCATGTCAGACAGTGTTCTTCTTAAAATACCAATTTCCTTCCTTTAAATCACCTTTTATTGACCCAGGATCTAATGAGATTACATTTGTACCAATACATCATCTCTTGGTAACTTTAAGGTCTACTGAGGTGTGCACGGTCTCACTCCCAGAGCTTCAAGTTAGAACGTCCATAATTCTTGGACGCTTTTTTTAATATTGTCTCTTCTTCCTCACTGTGAGGCAGTCACCTGTGAAGTACTACCATCAGTTGACATCTCTGTAGAAGAATTCCAAACTACTGCTTTGTGATTTAATCTTTCTTATCTACAAAGTTTAGAAAGACAGAAATATACCAGAACAAACCGAGAGTTGGACGTCTTGGTGGAAAAAAGGAGGGGGTTCTTAACGCAGTGTAAAGGGCATAATACCCAATTCTCGGATACAGCATAATTTCGACTAGGCCTTTTTTGTCAACTCCCTGATTCTTTGCCACATTCTGTGCTGATATGCTTTGTTAGGTAAATGGCGCATGACTATAAAATATGCCTAAGAGTCCTTAGAGGGAAAAGATCCAAAAAACAGATGTCTGGGGGTGTGAGAGGAGTGGTTAACAGTTATAAAAAAGATGGCTATGTTCAGTCAGACAAATTCTTATAAAATGACCATCTGAAGAAAACAGTAATGCATAGTGCATCTTTCTCATGAGTTGACCTTAAGTCATTCATCACTTAATTTGCATTTCTTATTTAGCCCTCAATTTAGAAGGCAACAACAGTGTATAAAACGAAGTGGAGGCAGAATACCTAGGTTCTTGCCTCTGCTTTATAACTGAGTCACCTCTAATTTTGAGCAAGTTTTACAACCCTCATTTTGTTCTTCGGTTTCATTATCAGCAAAGAAAGCATCAAAGTCAGAAGGAGGAGATGAGACCACAGAAGTAGAGGTTGGACTGACGCACTTTGAAGACAGAGGAAGGGACCACGAGCTGAGAAACATGAGTGGCCTTTACCAGTGGAGAAGGCAAGGAAACAGGTCCTCCCCTACAGCCTGCAGAGCGAATACAGTCCTGCAGGCTCGCCTTACCTCGCTCTGACCTCCAGATCTTTACAATGATACATTTGTGTTTACTTAAACTGCTAAGTTGTGGTATTTTTTTTTTACAGTAGGGATAGAAAACTAATGCATCTGCCTATAATTAAATTCTCCCAGAATCTCACCTTCTCTGAAGGACTCTGTGCAATGCCTAAATGCCTATATTTTCTTAAGTAACTGAACAGGAAAAGCAGGTATTGGAAAGGACATCTTTTAGACAGCTTCGGAACTTTTAACAGATTATGTTCTAAAAACATTTAACAGGATTCAAATGGATGTTTAATAGAGATCCTTTATCTTTGCAGAGAAGTTCAACATTAGATATACTTTATCTTACTACATTATAGTCAGAAACTTAAACTTATTACGGATGTCAAACAAACACCTTAAATTTACTGAAGACAATGAACATGGCAAGAGATAAGATTTCATGAATGAGTGAACATGATGGTAACTTTATCTTTCAGTTACTACTGTGTTATTTTGCTGTATGAACTTTGATCAACGCTAATAACGTAACAAATGATTCTTTTATCAACTGAGGAACAGTATAAAACGGAAATTGAAGAAAAACAGGACCTGGCTCCTCAGAGTGGCAATGTTAACATCCTTATAAATGATTTTTTTTTAACGTAAATACCTGTTCCAATTCCTGTTCTGCATACTGACGTCTACTCAATTCACATTCAGCTCCCTCCCTTAGCTCTTTCAGCCGACAAGCCTCCTCCTTTGCGTAATTGATTTCATCCATCATTTTGCGCTCTAAATTTTGCTTTTCTACAGCAACATTTCTGTTTTCTTCCTGTGCCTTTTCAAGCCTTATAGAACAATAAAAATAAAAATTCCTCAAAAAAACTTCCAAAGGTTTTTTGTTTTGTTTTTTTTGTTTTTTTGGTTTTTTTTTACAAAATAATGAATACTGTGTCAGGCAATTAAATACATATTTCAATCAGAAATCACAGCATTTTTCATTAGCCTTAAGCTTGGTTAATAAAAATATCAGGCAACTTACTATACAGCTATTTTGGTTATCATGGGCTCAAAAGACAGGGAAAGCAGAGAAATATTCTTCCACAAAAAGCTTTTTAAAACTTTGTAATTATTTAAATCAAGTTAAAAATAAAATTTAACTACATATCTAATTCCACTACATTTGACTTACCGCCACTGTTCTTCTACTCATTTATTCCCAAGTATTTACATTTATAATAAATCTGTAATTATGACAAAAATAAACTTTTCTAAAAATGTGATATCAAATATGCATATATTTCTGATGTGTAATAACCTAAATATGTGTTTAAGCACACACCCACAAATTTTTTTACAAATTGTATTTGCCTACGTAAATAACAAGATTTATGTTTTTTCTTTTTTTACTTACCTCTCTTGTAAGTCCATTAGACTTTGCTCTGCAGTTTGTAGGCTCTCTAAATCTTTCATCATTTTTGCAACATGTTCTTTTGATGTCTTATTTTGTGTATAAGCAAACCAGCACCCTCCAACACCAATTACTATAGAAACTGTGAGGATAAAATCCTTCATCCAGTTATGAGGTGGGCCTAGGAAGAGAATTATAGATGATTCAATTAATCTTTGAATATGACAGGTCCTCAAAACAAAAAGACACTTTTTAGGTAGTATTTAAAACAAAATGAAAAACTGGAGATCTCTTTCCCATGAACAAGCGCTAGCCTTTTAAAAATTCTTTCTTCAAATAATGACTGTGCTTCTTATAACTCTTTGACATATAAGACTTATAGAAGGGCAGAGAAAAACCCATATGGACACACCATGGCCCTGCTGGTGGTAGAAGGAGTGGCTAAAGTCGTGGGGACCCTTGAAAAAGCAACAGCACCTCCAACCATGTGCTGCCAGAATGGGTGAAGGGAGTCATCAAAAGTATCACCACCATCATCCCAACTCCCTTCCTTCAGTCAAGTCAGGCAGCTGTCAAGTTTTTTAGACACACCTACAAACCTGATCAGTCACCAAAAACTATTTTCCCAATTCGGTGAGGTTAATCAGTGGTTAATCTCAAGGTTGGTGACAATTTTGGGTTGTCTCAACTTGCGGGGGAGTGGTTACTGGCATCTACTGGGCAGACACCAGAAATACTGCTGAACATCCTACAGTGCACAAGACAACTCCTCCCTATGGCCCCCTCTACTGATAACAAAGACTTATCCAGGAACTATCGTGCCCAAAGAGTGACTAGTGCTAAGGCTGATAAAGCCTGGGTTAAATAGTAGTAACAATTATCAATTTTAGGTGTTTATTTGCCAAAGATACGGGGGTTACTGGCATGATATTAACCCCCAGCCTTATGTCCAAAATAAAGAGTGGGGAGCTAAGGCCTATTTAGAAGTGATACTGTGTTTCGTTATCACTGAAGGTAGTGAAATCACTATTCAAATTTCCTAATTTAGCCCTCTGGAACAGAGACACATGATAGCTAATATATTGTTTTAATGCTCCAAAGAGATACAGCTCACAGTGAAAAACCACCTAAATGCCCAGGCCTCTAGTAGAAACATATTTTGCAGTTTGGTGACATAAAGAATCCTACAGACTGACAAGTCTGGGGTTTGGCTATGTTTGTGTAGTGTGGCGTGATATGTAGCATGCTCTATGTCAGAGTTGCTCGTTATCCATATTGCCAGAATGCACACCCTCACCCTTCCACCTGTAGTAGAAGAAATGTACTGCTGAAAGCTACAATCTCAAAAGGATTTTTTATTTCTGCCTCACATTGAGACGGTCAGCTCAGGTTCTACTTCAACTATAAGCCCTATTTTCTGACTATTTAACATTAAACAAATAAGGTCTCTCACTAGTAAGCACCACAGACTGGAAAAGATTTAAAAAAAAATACTCTTTTAAAACGTATCTCTGTGCATTTGACAATGCTGGTTTTTAAAATAAATCTAATGCAAGTGTTCTGACTAAGGGGCACATTCACTCAATCATCCTAAGAAAAGCATATTTAAAAGGTATCACTAACTTCTTAATTGGTTTATTTAAATATTTGTTTACAATCTTCTTTGAGACTAGCTTGATTTCTTTTCAAATGACTTGGTAATATAATTTTGGGGGCTTGGAAAGGGGTTAGATCCGAGATTAATATGAAGAATTCTGATCACGTTGTAAATAGAAATAAATTCTATACTTTATCGTATTTTCACTAACCACTCACATGAGAAACATTGGACAGAATCCCACAGAAGACAATCCCCTATTGGAATCAGTCTAGAAGTGAGGACAAGGAAAAGGTTGGAAAGGGCATCATCTCTATGGAACGCTTGGCATTTCGGCAGTGTTCTATTTCCTGGGGTTTGTAATTTCCACCAACAGTGCATTTCCACCAGCTCTCATAAGGGGAGTTCCAGCTGTTTCACCAGCTGCTCTTTTAGCCCAAGCCAAAAAAGAACCATAAGTAAAGTCAAAAAATCTATTCAACTAATTCTAGTAACCCTTTTTTAGAAGGGCCATTCCCAAGACAGTATCACAGAAACCTGAAAATCTCCTAACTCGAAGAATCCAGGGAGAATAAACATTAGTTTCCTACTTTAGAACTTGTGGAAGCCATTTTTCTCGTATTAATTTTGTTATTCTTTTTTGCCTTTTAAAAAATAAAACATAATTCCTTTAAAATGTATACTCTTCAAACACTTTCTCCCAAAGCTTTCTGAATTTGAAATTAAATAAAACAAACATATTAAATTTTCCTTCTGGGAAAAAATACTCCTGTCAAAGTAAATAAATACAAGGCGTATTTTCTTTACGGATATTGCATAAAACTTTCTTAAATATTTCTCTTCAAAACAAGCAAATAACATTTTCTACTTTGTGCTTCTGCCAGTATAGTCTGTTACTTTATAAAGCCTCAAGTGAGTCTTTGCTTTCCATTTATATCTAAAAAAACCTTTTTTTGGTATTCAGTGAAATGGTTAGAATCTATTGCTTCATGCCATCATAATGGTCAGATTGTATTATTTTTTAAAAGATTTCTCAGTGAATATCCAATTGCAGTAACATCAACATTAAAACTACATCAAAAATCCAAAGTTTTACATCTAAAAATTCTAGATTAACAGCTAAGCATAGTTTTTTAACCGCTTCTTACATTAGTAACCAGCTTTAAAAATTTCACACTCAATGACAGAAAATCCCATTCTATAAATCTTTTGTTTTAAGATAGTGTTACACTTCTTTCACAGCTAGTAGATGATTCTTCTTAGATGCCTACTACCTTTCTTATTTTTTTCTTTCCTTAAATAACACAGAGATGATCAGAATATTCTTTTACATCATCTTCTGAATGAGAGAGAATACTAACGTGTTATAGGTCCAAACAAAACCACATCCAGTGCCTTGAGCTGAAGTTTTTGTCTGTGACTCCGGTCACTGATTTTCAACTGGGAGATCATAAATGAAGGTTCGTGCACTGCTATCCTGTTTATTTGAAAAATACATATATATATTAAATGAAAATATATCTAGTATATAAATTTAAATATTTCAAAAACCTTTTCAATGCAAACTTAGCTGTAGAAAGACTCCTGTATGTTAATCATTTAATAGCTACATTGAAAAGTTTGTTTTCTAAGGTTACTTTCTGTTATGACTTACTATGATTTAGAAATTTATAAAGTTGAAAATATTTTATAATCATTAATTACTTCTGATATTATTATGCTTTCACAAAAGATAATAAAATTGTAAGTAACTTACTTTAACATCTATAGCAGACTTTAAAAAAGTTTTCAATTTAGATCATATTGCTTTTCTTTAAAAGTATCAAAAAATCTATACCTTTACATTCTAATGTTTAAACTGTTTAAAAATTAAACAAAGAACATTGAAGTCACAAGTGGGAAACAGAAGCCTTCACAGATTGAGGTAGGTAGAGGGATTTATATAGTAAGTAGTACTAAACCATTTTATTAGCTGTGAAGAAAGCATGTAGGGAGCACACGTAAAATAAGAAAATAAAATTACTTTATTATGGACTGTAAATACAAGCAGCCCATAATAAAGATTTAAGCTCAATTAAGATTTCTTAACAACGAAGTATGATACTAGTAAAGATTTTATTACACAAAGTATAATATTAATAATAAAATTAATAACAATGACAATAAAAACAAGCATATAATACATGCTGGGTTGTGTACCAATGGCTTAATACTCAAGAAAACCTTTTAACAGTATTTCCATTTTATAGGTGAAGATACTTGTGAGAGGTTGAGTATTTTGCCTAGATATAATTAGTAATAGGTAAGGTAAGGATTCGAACCCAAATATGTATGATTCCAAAGACTACTCTGAAACACAACATTTTGTGTAGAAACATATCAGTACTCTCTAAGTATGGAGAAATTACAGGAACTCCTATGAGTTCTCTATAAAACCTTAAAGAGCAAAGAATTCTAACATTTCCTCTCTAAAATGCCTTCCTTTATCTTCTCCACAGATACCTTTCCTATAATGCTTCCCTTACACCTTTAACATGACACTTACCAAACTGCATGAAGGCAAAGACTACGTTTTATCTCTGTATCCCCAAAGCCTCCTGCAGTACTTGCCAAAAGTAGAAGCTTGAGAAACGTTTATGTAATAGCTAAATGAATGCATGGGTGGGTGGATGGATGCATGAATTAACAGCAATACTATCAACAGACTAAGACAAGGAAATGTAGTAAAAAGAAAATATATAACAGAATTTTATGCAAGGTTCAATATGAGTCCAGAGGTAAAAATGATTCCACCTAGTGGGTTAGGGTGTCAGGGAAGGCCACGTAGGCCTGAAAGAAATGAGGTGGTATGTGACAGGTGAAAAGAGCCTTAGTATAGTCTTTGGTAGTAAAAATTACAGAGGATAGAAAACAAAGTAAAAGGTTTAAGATAACTGCTATAACCAACATAAAACTAACATAGTTTTGGCTACCTTTAGCAGATGTAAAGGGTTTTAATGTCACAGAAAAGAAACATCGCAATGAACTGTTACAGGCCAACTACCTAGAATATGTAATACATTTTCTTATACATTCTTGTGACTAGCTCTTATGTCTACAGATACCATACAAAGCGTTCTGGAACTTACATAATAATTGAAATTAACTGATACTGCCCCTTTGAGTTGACTCATCTAATTTCATTACTATATAACAGGGGCTTAAGGAAGAGTTTACTGTTTTCCTTTCTCCTCCACTAAAAAATGTTCCAATGGGCTGACCTGAGAATTAAACTTTCATATTTATAATGTTTTTCTATAGTAACCTGTGCACTATTTAAGGAGTTGATCTTGACAAGTACCTGATGTCTCCACAATTTTACCAGAATTGGAAGCATCTCTGATTAATCTTTACTGAACCAAAAGAAGTAAGTAGTTACAACACTGATTGTCAAAACACAGATCAGCCTATTTTATTTCATGTTGTTATATAAAGAAACTTCTCAAAAGACAATAAGAATATTCCTGTTGTTCTTCATACCCAGAGCAACATATATAAATCAAAAAACTCTAATCTCATTTTAATGTTCTACTCTATTTTAACTTGAGTATCACCTTCTGATACTCAAATTACGTTCCTTGGATATAATTTCTTTCAAGAGCCTGATTATTTAGACAACAAAAATTGATTAAAACTTGAAAATGCATACTTTTAAAAGATTAAATAATATACATATTTCTTTTGTGACCTCAGACACAGAAGTAACTTGTAGATTCAGTACTAGAAAATGACATCTAGCATTTGATTCTCCCAGAGTGGAAAAATCCATTTGCATAACAAAGATTCACCTGGGAAGTGTCGTTCCTTTGACATTATTGTCTCTAAAATTCTTCTCATATTGGGGTAGTTCAACAAACTCTATCAACCACTGAAGAGTATCTTCAAGGGTCCAATTATGAACTGTAGGAGATAAAAGGGGAATGTGTATTTTAAACACACCTGCTTTCAAGAAATACATATCTATAATTTCAGAGAATATAACGATGTTAGATTGCATTTTCAATTTAATCAACAGTAAGTACTAAAATTGTATCTAGCACTCTATGAGAAGAAAGGCTTACAATCAAAAACAGAAGAGACAGATAAAAGCAATTAGGACAAAGATTAGCATGATTAATTCTAAAATAAACACCTATACAAAGTTTGTGCAGGATGAAATAATCTATCATTTCTCTGGTTGTAGAAAAATTACCAGATACATATTTGTTTAATCTTTCATTTCAATACTGTAATACTGAAAACATTATGAATACCAGTTTCCATTCTAAGCACTGGGGATATGGCAGTGAACACAACAGATAAAGTCCTTGCCCTTATGGGACTTAAAATTACTTTGGGTTTAGGGAGGGGCACTTAATGAAAGAATAAAGAAGAAGGGATAGTGATTAACTTAATCAGATAGTGATTAACTTAAGAAGGAAAGATGTCAGGGTAAGCCTCTCTAAGGAGTTGACCTCTGAGAACTAAAAACTACAAGGAGCCACATTGTGAAGATCTGAGTGAAAAATATCCCAAAGAGAGAGAAAAAAAGACTAGTTTAAAAAAAAAAAAGCCTTCAAATGGAATGAACTAGCAGTGTTTGAGAAACTGGCAGAAAGTCAGAGAGGAGCTAGGTCATGAAAGGCTTTCAAGAACTCTGGAGTGTTTTCTAATTTCAATTTAAAAAAGAGGAATAATCTGCTTTTAGAATATTGTTCTTCAGTGTGGAGAATGGACTGTTCACGATAAGACTGGAAATGGTCCAGCCTTATCGTGAAATACGGAGAAATAAGGAGACCACTCCTTATATAACTGCCTAGACAGGAAAGGGTTATTGTCTTAGCCTATGGTGGCAGTAGATACGATGACAACAAGGAGTCAGATTCAGGATATATTCTCAGGATAATGCTATAAGATGTGCTGATGCAATGGACAGTGGCTGGTAGCTAAACGAAAGCCAAAAGTACAGAGGGTGCTGCCATTAACTGAGATGAAAAGAATGTGGAGGAACAGACTAGGGAAAGGAGCAGGGCCAGGTGACAGAGCTCAAAAATTATTTTAAGACATGTTATGTTTGAAGTATGTATATGACATTTAAGTGTAGATAATACAGTAGCAGTCAGATCTGCAAATCTGGAGCTTAGGAAAATGTGAGGTTAGGAACAGAGGCTAGTGTGAAGTCATCAGCATATAGGTGATCTTCAGACTGAGTGACATCAACCAGAAAAGACAGCTATTAATAGATTCCAGGAGATTGGACCTAAATCAAGAATAAAATGATAACTAGCATCTCTTCTCCTAGATACTTATTTTATATTAAGTCCCTTGTATGCATTTTCTTCTTTAGGTCTTGAAAAAAAAAAAACCTTAGGAGATTCTAACATAATGATCTTAATTTTGGAAATTAAAAACTAAAAAGCAAATTGAACCAACGAAGTAAGAAGTAGGACTGGATTTAAGCTCAGGCAAACTGTGCACAGAACATGCCTCTATACTACTCTGAAAGTAATAATACTAAGTATCAGTAAAGATATAAACAAGCAGTTAAGCACTGGAAGCAGTTCCGAGGTTTCCGCTTATGAAGAGTAATGATGAGTTTAGGCAAAGTGAAGGATGCAAGTGTGCTTAAAAAATGAGAAGTTCCACACTGTCTGCATTTAATTTGAGGGTTTGGGAAAACATGATGCTTATAGACTACAGAAGAGGTCAAAGGAGAGTGAAGAAAATGTGAGCAATAAAAGCAGGTCTGCGAATCTATCTGTATATAAATAAATCTGAAAAAAATCTTTCTATAAGCACTGTGAATTCATACTTGCAAGCAAAGCTAGGTTTCCATCAATCTGCCTTTTTTATTAAGTGTTCTTTAGAGAAAAACCTTAAATAAACCACAAACAAAAACCAAAAACATTTAAAAACTAGATGTGGTCATTGATAGTTTTATACTGAAACAAAGCTTTGACTGTTCTCCCTTCATGCGTTCCTATCATAAAACCTGGACATGAGCCTGAGGCTGCCATATCCATTTAACCAAATAACAGGATGTCAGCCGAAGGTTCAGGCCCTGGGTGTTTTCCACTGAATTTAGTACATTCAAAGTAGCCTTTTTGCTCTTAAGTTTTTTCCTATTCAAGACAAACTGCATTGAGAATTGCCCTGTCTGGCTGCCAAGAAACTCATGATACAGCTGCACCTCACACACCCACACAAAACCCCCAGCCATGAAAACAAGATAAGATTCTCTCTTTCTATGACTGTTCAACAGCGAAAATTCCTGATCTAAACACAACAAAGTCATCCCTCGATTCCGAATAAGCCAGTGTAGAAAGGAAGAAAAACCAAATAAAAAAGAACATATTAAAACTGCCCAAATCTTAGTAATACTCTACCTAGCAAATTAAAAATTGTAGTGGTCTTGATAACGAATCTTTAAAACAAAATTCTAACAGAACAGTTCATTTTGGGGGGAGGTTCACTTCTCCTTTTGCTGTGGTTTCCTTGGTGATACTTAGTAAACACCTTCACTTCTCTTCTCATGACCAGGACTTGCATTTTTTATTAGCCTTCTCTGCTCCAAATACTCTAGTTGTCTTTCAATTCTTAGGACAGATCATACTATGTCTTTCAGGGCCTCTGTATGTGCTGTTTGCTGAGTATAAGCTCCTTTTCCCTATCTCTCTGCCTTTTTGTTTTATTAAACCTTCAGATCTCAGCTAAAACTTTAATTCCTCAAGTGAGCCTTTCCGAACACTGCTATATAACCTTTTTCCCCCTTCTGTTGCAGAGACGGGGTATTGCTATGTTGCACAGGCTAATCTCTTGAACTCCTCAGCCTTGCAAAGTGCTGGGATTACAGGCATGAGCCACTGCACCCAGCCTCTGATTATTAATCCCTCGTTAGCTTTTATGCATAGCATTTAAGTAACTCTAACTACTTATTTACATGATTATTACTTCAACAACTGTTTATTTCAGTAAAGTATGTCTTCCACTCATTACTCTACTTAACAAAATAACAGGATGTAACTTCGTGTAAAGGTGTTCAACAAATTATTTGTTGGATGCTGCTGAATGAAGTAGAACATGTTTAATTAGTAAGTCTTATGAAAATAAGTCTTATGAAAATCCGTTTTTACATTTTAGTGGTGAGACAAACACGGATTTTGTCTTTTTTAAGATTTTTTAAATTTCAATAGCTTTTGTGGTACAAGTGATTTCTGGTTACATAAGAAATCCTTGAGGGTAAAAGAGTTAACTCATTTAAGAGTTATCTGGTTCCTTATTACCTACCTCTCACTGGTCTTTTATACATATTGTTGCACTTACATCAGAGGGCAAGCAGAGCAAGATACATCATTCTTTTTAAAGGTTTATTTCCCAATCTGCAGAGCTACAGAAATGCCTGTCTCTAAAATGTTAACTTATATTGTTTCCGTTTGAAATTGTGGCCAGTGCTACATATCAGTGTCTCAAAGTGATTTTTTGGCAATTTAATCTAAGACCAATAAAAAGAACTCTGGAATGGAAACAGATACTTTGATACATATATACAATGTGTGATGATCAAAGCAGGTAATTGGGATATCCATCACCAGAAACATTTATCTTTTCTCTATGTTGGGACCATTATAATTCTCTTCCAGCTATTTGGAAATACACAATAAATTACTGTTAACTTTAATTTTCCTACTTCACTATCAAATCGTAGAACTTATTCCTTCCACCTAACTGTATTTTTTTACCCATTAACCAACTTGTCTTCATTCCCCTCTTCCCTTCCCAGCCCCTGGTAACCACCATTCTACTCTCTACTAGTAAAATTCATTTTATTAGCTTCTACATCAGAGTGAGGACATGTGATGTTTGTCTTTCTGTGCCTGGTTTATTTCACTTACCATAATGACCTTCAGTTCCATTTTGCTACAAATAACCAGATTTTATTCTCGTTTATGGCTGAATAATATTCCATTCTGTATATGTACCACATTTTCTTTTCCCATCAACCTGATGATGGACACTGTAGTTGATTCCACATCCTGCCTACTGTGAATAGTGCTGCAGTAAACATCAGAAGGCAGGTATCATTTGAAACAATGATTTCCTTTCTTTTAGACATATATTCAGCAGTGGGACTGCTGAATCATATGTTAGCTCTATTTTTAGTTTTTTTGAGAAACCTCCATACTGTTTTCCATAATAGCTGTAGTACTTTACATTCCCACCAACAATATATAAGAGTTCCTCTTTTTCCACATCTTTGATGGCATTTGTAATTTTTCATCTTTTTGATAACAGCCATTCAAACTGGGGTGTGGTGATATCTCATTGTAGTTTTGATCTGGATTTCCCTGATGATTAGTGATACTGAACATTTTTCCATCTACCTGTGGGCCGCTGATATATCTTTTTGCCTACTCTGGTCTTTTGCCGATTTTTTACTTGTTTTTCTGATATTGAGTTGTTTGCGTTTCTTATAAATTCTGGTTATTAATCTCTTGTCAGGATAGTTTGCAAATATGTTCTCTTATCTCATAGGGTGTCTCTTCACTTTGTTCATTGTTTCCTTTGCCATGCAGTAGCTTTTTAGCTTGATACAATCCTATTTGTCTGCTTTTGCTTTCGTTGCCTATGCTTTTGAGGTCTTAACCCCAAAAACTTTTTGTACAGACCAATGCCCTGCAGCCTTTCCTATGTTTCCAGTAGTTTCTGATCTTACATTTCAGTCTTTAATCAATTTTTAGTTGATTTTTGTATATGGTGGACATCTAGATTCATTATTCTGCATAGAGATATCCAGTTTTCCTAGCACCATTTATTAAAGAGGCCATTCTTTCCCCAATGTACATTCTGGGTGCCTTTGTTGAAAATGAGTTGGCTGAAAGTGTATGGATTTATTTCTGGGTTCTCTATTCTGTTCCACTGGC